ATCCAAGTTAAAAGTATATTACTATTGTAACCAGGGCTTCAGCATCGATAATAATAAACCTTGCGTTTGGTGTAGGGCCTTATCACGTCATTGTGTATATATATACTGTATATTGTATACTTTACAATATATATGTATATTGTATACTTTATGGAATATGCTGTAAAGTGTAGTGACTGTGTCTTTTGTGGGCGGAACGGGGCAGCCAATTGCACCCCAAGCAGAATGGCAAACTGCCAGAAAGTTCAATCGCGATGTGACTTCATCTCCAAGATCTAAAATTCGATTTGTCCATAAAACCAAATTTAAAAAAAAAGAGTGCGAGGGAGAGAGAGAGAGAGGGGGGGGGAGAGATAGAGAGCAAGAGAGAGAGAGAGAGAGAGAGAGAAAGCAATCAAGAAAGGGATGCACAATGAGAAGCACATTGTGCCACAATGGTAAAGGAGCCCATTATACTGTTAAGAAAAATAACGAAAACCTGTTTTTCATCAGTTAACGTTTTTCTGAAATTGCATTTGTCGAGCGTGAAGCGTATGTAATGTCCAGAATTACAGAAGATTCGGGGGGAGCAGGTCCCCTGTGATAATTTCTTCCGACTTGTTCCTGTTCTTTGGAAAAGGAAAGTAGGAACTTTGTAGGACTGGGGCTTTTGTTTGACCCAGATACAAAAGTTAAGCTAAACAAACAAATAAAAAATAATTAAAAAACCCTGCACGGCTCTTATCTCTCACCCCTCTGAATCGATTTATTCGCCAAATAGCTATCTGGTTCGCTCCTGCGTTTGCTCACACAATCTGCCTGCACTGCTTGCCTGGGAAGTCCATTTAACACTTTCTGTGTAAAGTAATTAAATCTGAATGGTCTATTCACCTTCTCTCTTCTGAGCTTGAATTTGTGTCCCCTTTGCTCTCGTTTTGGTGACCGGGTTGAACGCATAAATGGGACCCAATTTATCTGCGATCGATATTGTCTTGAATACGTCTGTAACATCTTACACCTCAGTCTTCTCCTCGCTGCTGGGAAGGTTCTCAACTTCTCCTCAACAACTCAAAGTGCCTATTTCCAGCCGTAATGTATAATAATAATCCTTGCGTTTGATATAGCATCTTATCATGTCTTCGACACGGCTCAAAGTGCTTCACAGAATAGACTGTAAAGTGAACTGACTGTATATTTGTGGGCGAAACTCGGCAGCCAATTGCGTACAGCAGCGTCCCCACAAACAGTCGTGGATTGGAGTGACCAATTTATTATTGCTTTTTTTTGCCTTGAAGGTTTATTATCAGGCGCGTGGAGTAAGGAAACTTGTCCAAGGTTTCGCCCTGGCGGGAATCGAACCCAAGTCTCTCGTTTGCGAGGTGAGGGCTCTTGCAATGTGTACGTGCATGTGTGTGCGTGGGTGTGAAATCTGTGGAGTTTCAAACACGGTCGATGTGATACGGTAACCATCACATCGAACACAGCGAAATGAGACGCTGCAAATTTCACCACCAATCCGTGTGTGCGTGCGCAGCGACTGCAATCGGTCACACTCAGGAAATCTACTGGAGTTGAAACTCAATTGTCTCTTTGGTGGGGGGAGGACAAAGAATGTATTACAGTTTCCCTCTGGAGTAAGCAAAACGAAAGAAAATAACTGATGGTTTAACATTTGCCTGCCAGTTGCGTAGCGATGCAATTGCACTGAGTTACACATTTGGTTCTGGTCGAGATTCAGCGCAATGGGTGGGTGGGGGTGCGGTTTCAAGTCAAATCAAGTGACATCAACTCAGCTCAGGGGCATCAGTCTGGACAGACTTGTGCCCGACGAGGTCAATCATCAGCACTGGTTGTTAACCTTTTCGCCAACTACGGGTTGCTGGCAATTTTATTGCAAGTTTCTAACATTAGAGGTTTTCTTATCCCTTCTCGTTTCTCCCCGCTGGGCTTCATCCGTGCGACTAGATTCAAATTTGCGCTGCTTCATAAGGCAAGAGTTCCTATTCACCGACAAAATGTACAGTCAACTCACTGTACAATATATCCTACGAAGCGCTTTGAGACGTCTCGAAGACGTGATAAGGCGCGATATCAAATGCGAGGATTATTATTATCATCATCATCATTATTATTATTCCTGTTTAATGGGCAATTCAGCGGATGGACTGGCGTTTTAAGAACTCACTCCCTGAATAAGACGGGCCCAGAAGCTCAGATAGGAGGCAAGAACGGTCTTGAAAAAGGCGATGCATGCTTTTAAACCATCGCTGTAACCCATTCCACTTAGCGCGTAGGCTTCCACCAGGGGTGTTGGAGCCTGTTCTCCAGTCTGTCACTTACAGACAGGAGAGAAACTGGTGTCCATGGTTACCTGGGATAATGCAATCCCAGTGATCCTGACACGACACTCAGAGGTGAAACCATTTCAGTTCCCAAAAGACTTCAGCGCTACTCTTTACCTGATGTTCTGTCACAGCCATCTTCTCTCCATTGCTAAATTAGCCATGCAGCTTTAACCTCCAACACCGCTTCTCTGCAATTTGTAGGCAGTAACTTCACTTATAATAATAATAAATAATAATAATCCTTGCCTTTAATATAGCGCCTTATTGGGTCTCAAAGCGCTTCATAGAAAATACTGGAAAGTCAATTGACAATTGGTTGTTTTGTGGGGGAAAAACATAGGAGTTCGAAGCACTTGACTTCGAAGGCTACCCCGAGCTGAGGAAAGGACACCAATGTGCTCTGCATTCATGGATTATTGTACAGTAAAACTCGCACAAGTCTGACCTGTATAAAATCGTATAATCGCCCAAGTCGTACATCTGCCCAAGTCCCGTCCGTTTTTCCATTCCATTTCCATTTATTCAAGAGTTTATATTCTATGCAAGTCTGACGTAACTCGTACTTTGCACGAGTCATATTAAATGTAGGGTCCTAATAGATACGTGGAGTCCTGTAGCTCAGTGGTTAGAGCACTCTCTTTGCAAGCGAGAGACCTGAGTTCAATTCCAGGCAGAGGGCGAAACCTTGGGCAAGTTTCCTTACTCCACACAGAGCCTAATAATAATCCCTCCAAAAAAAACAAAAACAATAATAAATTGGTCATTTTCAATCTATGACTGTTTGTGGGACATTGCTGTGCGCAATTGGCTGCCGCGTTCGCCCACAAATATACAGTCAATTCACTTTACAGTCTGTTCCGTGAAAGCGCTTTGGGACGTCCTCCCGACGTGAAAAGCGCTATATCAAATGCAAGGATTATTATTATACGACTTATGTGAGGTTTACTGTATGACAATGGCCTGATGCGCACACTCTAAATTGTATGAATTTCTTCACCAATGTCACAGTCAACATGTCTGCTGCAACTGTAAGGCCTGGAGTCTGGTGATGCTAAATGAGTCCTGACGTGACCTTGGCAGGTCCAAATTCAGGGAATATCTGGCCATTCATTGTGCATCGCTAGTTACCTCCAGAGACTGGATCGACTTGGGAGACAAAATAGCAGTGAGGAAGTTGAGTTCAAATTTCCCCGTGTTATTCGCTCAGTTCAACACTGAGTAACGTGTGATGAAAGAAAAAAAAGGATCACTTACATTGCATTACATATAAGAGGATCTAATGAGTAACACTGACTGAGAACTTGGGCTCAACTCTCTGATATAAAGCACACAGACTTATCTTGTCAACCCTTCGGAAGCTGAGTTTTCATTGTGGCTCACGGCATCAATCAACGACACCGTACCAACCGCACATCTGCCAAAACAGGTGTCTGGCGCTAGACATTATAAAGTAATGTTGAAAGCCAGAAAAGAAACGGAGAATGCTTCTATCCGCTCGTAGGGTTCAATTATTAATCGGAAATGTGTCATTTCACGAGGGGAAGTAAAAATCCTTCATGTTCCTTGTCTCGTCCTCGTCACCGTCCAGAAAAGTAAGAGCCCGAGTGGGTGGCAGAGATTCTTCAGCGAGTACCACTGAGCTATACAGTTGGTATCTGTCAGTGTGAGTGTTTAGATTCCTCAGCCATAGTTTGAGTCTGTTTTCTTAGCACCACAAACAATGCAACACAACACAGGGTGAATCACTCATAGAGACACTCCACCCACACACAGGTGCCTCTGTTTGCCGAGCAGTAAGTAGGAACCCGCCTATTAGTCGATTGGTGGATCACTTTCTGGGGGTAATAATCTCTTCAAAACGATAATAATTTGGTAGCTGTTGACTGTTGACTGTTTGTGGAACACTGCTGTGCAGAATTGGCTGCCGCATTTTGCCCACAAGGCACACAGTTACTACACTTTACAGTATACCCTGTGAAGCACTTTGAGACGTCTCGACGACGTGATAAGGTGCTATATCAAATGCAAGGATTATTATTAGTACTGTAACAGGAGAAGGCCATTCAGCCCCTCGAGACTGTTCCACCATTTTATTAGATCAGGGCTGATCTGTACCTCAACGTGATAGGCAGATAATACATTCGTACTGATGGGTCACCAGCTGCTAATTCCCTTGTCTGCTACCGTTGTTCTGAACGAGATTGGGCTATTTTCCTAAAACTCCTGTAGAGCTTAATGCATTTGCAAATAATAAATAAATACCGCTTCATAATCGTAAACACCTCCACCAGGTCACCTCTCAATAGCATCTCATCTCCAGGGGGAAAAAAAAATCAGTTCAGTCCTTCTAGTTAGTTGTACTGCATCCACTCATTCCTGGTAACATCTTATTAAATCTATCATTGTGCTCTCTCGTTTGTCATACAGTGCCTTTTTGTGGTATGTTAACCAGAATTGTACACTGTTTCAAACAAGAAGCAAGTCTCCAACCAACAGCTAGCGAGCACATTTCACGCAGATTACAGATTGTGTCCCAGTTGGATTTAAATCCAGTTGCTGAGCAGTGAATCTACCTTCTCTCTCATTGCACTATAAAACAGAACAATGTAAAATGTAATTGTGCAACATGTCCCTTAGAGATAAATGTGTCCTTTTCTCCCTGTCTCTGCCACTTACCTGCGGAGTAACAGCTTGGGATGGTTCTTGCTCTCAAGGTTTTTCTCAATCAGGTCAGAGAGTAGTTGCTTCAGAACGTCAGTGGCGTACTCCAGCTTGCCCTGCAGGGCGGTCATGATTAAGGACGCCACGTTGCCTCGGTCCCTCATGGAGAAGCTACGCTGCAATTCCAGTGTCCGGATGAAGGTCAGCAAGAAAACCTTGTTGTTAATGAGCTGTGCAAAGAGTTTCAGAGCTTTCTCCACGTTCTGCTGCCCATTTCCAGGAACCTAGGAGACAACGGGACGGGGTGAGAGACTCGGAAGATACAGCAACAACAATTTTGTTTATTATATAATGCCCTTCAACATAGGAACAGGATTAGACCGTTCAACCCTTCGAGTCTGTTCTGCCATTCTATTAGATCATGGCTGATCTGTACCTCAACTCCAAATACTGCCTTTGCCCCATATTCCTTGACACTCTGACCTAATAAAAATCTAAAAAAAAAACCCCAATCCTTAAAATTTGACTGGTTCCAGCATCCACATCCTTTTGGGTGGGGGGGGGGAAGAGAGTTCCAGATTTCCACTACCTTTTGTGTGAAAAAATACTTCCTGGTTTCACTCCTAAATGGCCTAGTTCCAATTTTAAGACTACGCACCCTTGTTCTGGATTCCGCCACCAGAGGAAATAGTTTCTCAATGCAGGATAGCGCCTCTGAGCGCCAAAATGCCAGGGCAACAAAGTTTCACGTTGACACTGAATTGGCGTTCTAACAATTTGTTTGGAACACATAAAGTTGAGAGGGGACCTAACACTAGTTTGCAAAGTTCTGAAAGGTTTTTGCGAGGCTAAATGATGAAAGATTATTCTCACTGCTTGGTACATGGATAGTAAGCACGTAGGGTTCTCTAAGCGGCTTTTGAAGCTGAACCGCAAAAGCATTTAGAAAGGAGTTGGATGAATATTTGAAAAGTAACATTGTGAAAGGGTGTAGAAATAAAAAGCAGGGAACTGGGATTAAAGATGACAGCTCCAGTGGTGGAGCGAATGCCAGCATAGACTTGATAGGCTAAAAGGCCTCCTCCCACTCTGTAATTCCTGTGATTTCATCCGGCGTTGCAATGAATTAGAAATGGAAATCTCTGAATGCTTCAGCACATTTAAAATTTACAACTTGAATCGCTTCCAACTATTGCAGGAGTTAAGTGTTGTTTTTTCTCAATATCGATCTGTCTGCTCCCTCTGCTCATCGGGCTCCGGCTTTCTCCACATCCCCGACCAGCCCAGCCCGCCCCACCATCGGCGGTTGGGCTTTCAGCCTCTCTGCCCCCACCCTTTGGAACTCCATCCCACAGCCCCCTTCCGCCTTGCTCCCTTGCCTCCTTCAAGGCACGTCTCAAGACCCTCTCCTTCGCTCGCACCTTCGGTCACCCTCCCACCCCCAACTCTCGCCGCCCTCCACCCCTTCTGATCCCAAACCCCAGCTCAGGTCCCAATCCCTGACCGTCCAGCGTCTTGGGACGTCTGCCCGACGTGAAAGGTGCTGCGTAGATGTAATTTGTTGTTGTTGTTGTTGCACCCTACCTCCAGCTCCCTTAGAACAGGGTGGTCTTCAATGCCTGGGAACAGAACCCTCATTGCGTACGTCCTGTAATCAAGATATGGGATTCCAGCTCGGTCCAAATCGCTGGTTAGTTCATTGATGTCCGTCTGGAGCTCCGCAAATGCTATCGCAACAAAAACACAGCGAGAATCACAGTGTGAGTACAATAGTTCCTCACTCAACCCGAGCTCCTTTGCTTATTATTAAAAAGACATAAAATATTACAGAAAACGTTTCCCATGAAAGCAGATGCCATATTTTATTGAAAGGAATGCAAACGTATCGTTTGTGCCGCACTGATTTAATTGCGGTATATTGTTATAAATATAATGTTCCATGGAGTTTCATATGATGCCTTATTATGCCGCCGAGATGCCTCAAAGCACTTTATAGGATTTTGCTATGAGATGAAGCGACTGGGTGTGTGTAGGCAAATTAATACACTCAGTGTATGGTATTCTCTCCATCGCTTTTTTAATTGCAGTATACTGTGATAAATACACTATTCCACGCGGTTTCGTATAATGTTTTACCACGTTGTTGAGACGGCTCAAAGCACCTTGCAGGATTTTACTGCAAAAACAACATAGTTATTGTATAAAAACAATAAGAGTGGAGTTTTAAGGGCAGATTTATTGGGGTAAACTGGCACAACACGCGCAAAGCCACGTTTTGTTCCTCTTCAAGGTTTCCACAGCTCAGCTCCAGTTCAGCTCCGCTCGAACCAACTGCAACTTTGAGACTTTATCCCGGATATCGAGCACACCGTACATTACATCAGCACGGTGTAAAACACTGCTGCTTTTGAGTCAGAAGTCCTGCCACCATCGCAAAAACAAGTACCTGGATTCCAGGCCCGAAGGCACAACCTGGATCATTTTACAAACACTGCCGGGCAACGCAAACAAGCCCGAGCGGAGCAACAGAAAAGGGGGCATCGTAATAGCAACCGGTTGCCAATTATTCTGATTTGCAAAACGATCCTCGGGAAATCGTGAAACCCTCCAGACAGGGACTGTGCCCTGATCTAATCGAATCCCGTGCTCGCATCGCTCTGATATTCCAGGCAGCATTGTATTAATTCCCTTTGTTTCGCTTTGCCAATCAATCACGTTACTGCAGCAAAGACTACCTCTGTGTTTCCCCCTGGGCCAGGACAACGTGAAAGAAACATCTGCTGCATGTTGCACTCTTGGCTCTTAATTGTCCCAACAAACATCAAACTGCCATTGACTCAGTCTGGAGCCCATTTGACTCGCGTCCCGCTATCCCTCCCGCTCCGCTCCCGGCATGTGTTCTTTGTGTAAAATGTATGAAATTTTATTTTTTTTGCTGTTTTCAGCAAACAAGATCGGTCGTCTCTTACGGATGGCAAAGGCTCGTTTTCAATTGATAGTTTAGATCTCCTCTCCCCCACCCACTCCATTAAACGTAAAGATACGTTTTCGTAATGTTAGCGCTACCGCTCTGCTTAAAATTTAGGCTTCGGAGCAATTTGGAAGCAAAATGCTTTTAAGACCAATACTGACCACGACCGAGATGCTTTTAGCCACGGTTTGTCCAGTCTGCTTCTGTCCTCTCCGTAAAAGCGTGCCATTAGACGACTTTTTTGCTTGTCAGTCAAAGCTAGGATTCACACCACACTCGATGGGGGTCTAACATGCTTATTAACCCTCCCATTGCAAGCACAGAAAGTAAATGTAATGATAATAATCCTTGTGTTTGATATAGCGCCTTATCACGCCTTCGTGACGTCTCAAGGCGCTTCACAGAATAGACCGTAAAGTGAATTGACTCTTTATTTTGTGGGAGAAACGTGGCATCCAGTTGAGCACAGCTTATTAGATCTGGAAGTCAACTGTAGGTCAATGCGATGCCTTTGTATGGTCTAAGACACTTGGGGAACAAAATTTGGTTCCTACCTTCCTTGCACTCCAAAGCCACACGCGATTCCAGGTTGTCCATCTGCATCTGGAGCCGTTTGAGGGTCAGGTCGTTCTCCCTGGATTTCCGCTTGTAGGCGATCAGCACGATGATCACGATGACAAGCAGAAGACCCCCTCCAGCTGCGATGCTGACGATGGCCGGGAGGGTGAGCAGGCTGTCAGACATGATGTGGACCACTCCGGGCGAGAACTGCACTCCGCCCACCATCACCTGCAAAGGACATTGCACCCAAAGGTCAACTCAAACCCATCAGCTCAGCGGAGAAATACTTTCTTCGATTTCTTTTGTGTGTGTGACTTCAACAACATGAGGGGTTACAGTGCTGGGCAGCTGAAGAGCTTTCCACTTTGGCATCCAATGTCAGTATCAAAGACTCACTATGTTAGATGTTGGGTCCAGCTCCCTGATTCTAGTTCAACATTAGTCTCAGAAAAGCTTCTGTCACTTGCACCAGTCAGTTCAGCTTTATTCCTTTATGCAACATCAGGGAGAATTTTGCATCAACTGTCCTGTCCTACCCCACAGAGACTGGCCTTTACAACTCTAGTCGATTGGCGGATCGCTTTTCCGGGGATAACAATTTCTTTAAAAAAGTTTTTTTAAGAAAAAATAATAATAAATTGGTCACTTCGATCCACGGCTGTTTGTGGGGACACCGCTGTGCGCAATTGGCCGCCGTGTTCCGCCCACAAAATGCACAGTTAAATTCGCTTTGCAGTATATTCTGTGAAGCGCTTTGAGACGTCTCGAAGACGTGATAAGGCGTTATATCAAATTATTATTCTTAAACCTATGTCCTGGTGTACTATTGTCTTGGTGCAACCTAACGTGTTCTGAGTTTATTTTTTTCAATCCGATTTAAAATCTTACGCACCTCTACAAGTTCTCCTCTGAAGACTTAAGAGCTCCAGCGTATCTAATCGTTGCTCAGGTTCTTGTGATAACTGAGCAATGCATTCTAATTACAATCTCCAGGCATGCCGATTTGTATATGTTTATAAAATACGTGCAGCCTACCGGTTATTTTACGTTTACTGTGGATTATTGCGCATTTGAATATACAACAAGGAGAGAATCTCTCCGATAAAGAATCATTTGGTTCTTCCCGTGATAAAAGTTTACCCTCAGGGAACCTGTTCCACTTCCTTGCAATCATCTGATTGATGTTTTTTCCAACTTGTATGAGCCATTCAGCGCTGAAAACTCTCATGTACAGCACAGACACTAAATCAAACTCGCTGGTATTTGATGGGAATGTTGCTTTGGATGCTCGGAGTGTTGAGAGAGTAAAATTACTGCAGCAAGGAGAGAGGCATTAAGCAAATGAGGATGGCTATTAGGGAAGCTAACTTTTATGGGGAGCGAGCTTAAGCAAAACCTCTTTTGCATAATATACTGACAAGTCTGTTCTCTTCACAGGGTAACATCCAAGGTCAGCAAAGCCAGGCCTGCTGCTGGGGGTGGGGGGGGGGGGGGTCATCCAAACAAATCCTAACGTAGGCGACTTGGCAGAACTCAAGAGTTCAAGGTCTGACCCTACACATTGTTTTCCCACCACTGCTAACTAGCGCTGCTCTTAAAGGAGCCCGCACAGACACCATAGGGCTTGCCAAACGGCCTTCTTCTGCGCCGTAAATCTCTTTTAAGATTCTACGGTGAGGTACACACTGGAAACTGATCCAGACGCTCGCTTTGTTCTTGATTATTTCGACCCATTTGCAAAGGGCAGGAATGCAAAGCGCCCACCCCTCTCTCGGTGGCTTTCACATCACTTACCAGAACTCGGAGCTGTCCGCTTAAATTCGGGGGTTCACAAAGGAGCTGCGTCTCAGACACGGTCACGGGGCAGGGCGTATCACCAATCAGTACGGTGTAATTTAACTTGGCTCCCCCACTAGCAGGAGGTAACAGGTTCCGACCCTGCCAACACAAGCAGATTCTTTGTTGATGCGTGCAGATTTTTTTTTAAGAGGAAAGAAAAACCTTGCGATCAAGCCTGACTTAATTCGCAGCAGAGAACGCGGATTAATTTCAACAGCGGCCGCAGATTGATGGCAGAATACGCTTAACCTTCGGCGACGTGTACTTCCACGTTTAGCCAGGCGAAAACGTACACGGCTTGCGCTGTTTGTTACGGCCCAGAATGTTTCGCCGACAAATATACGGTCGATTCACTTTACGGTCTATTCTGTGAAGCGCTTTGAGACGTCGAGAAGACGTGAAAAGTGCTATATCAAATGCAAGGATTATTATTATTATTAGCATTATTATATTTCCAGCCCGAAGGAAACAAGTCGGATTTGATTTCGGAGGTGGAAAAAAACAATATAGATTTTCCTCGTCTTCGCGTTCAGTACGCACGGTGGCAGAATGCAATTAACCTCTTGAGGGCTGTGACGAAGCTCACCCACTCACTCGTAAAATGTAACTGGATACGACAAGAGAATTATTTACAGGACGCAAACCAGTGCTTTGTGTCACTAATCATTTTGTCACGCAGGCAGCGAAGACAAAATGAAACACGCCCAACATTTGGGATTTCCAGAAAAAAACTCTTACGAAATTACTTTTAACACCCGGTATTTTAACTCAACGTTAACCATTTTCCCTCCTCAGTTCTTTAGACGTTCAGGGTTAGGGTCAGTTGCAGTTGAACTGCCACTCCATGGCACGAATTTTAAGCAGATGCGCATTACTGCTTAACTTAAAAGTAAATAGGACGTTTATGTCCATATTCTCTGAAAAGACCACAAATTACGGCTTCTTTTGTTTGGAAAAAAAACAAAACAACGCTGCATAATGTTAAACAAATGTTATTTTGGTCCGTAATGTGAAAGACCCCAATGGAAATGTCAATTAACGAGGTGATGCTTTGTAAGTGTAAAGCATTGCTTTGTTGCAACTGCTGGGAGCTAATTAAAGTGTCAGCCCAGAATAAAGATGATAAATGCCACCTGAAGTGGCCAGTTAGTTTTTATCCCTTTGTCAGCCTAAATACCATACATGTTTGTGATTGAAATGAGTTGCCTTCGAGGCGCTCTCAGTGACTGAGCGGCCAACCGCATTGCACGGTGTGTGACGGAGCACGTTGAGTGTCAGGAAAGTGCCAGACTTGATCTCCGGCTGTGGTGAGGTTGCTGATCTCATTGACAAACACTGACAAAAAAAAAGCTCCCCCAACACCGTGAATGCGCTTGCAGAATGGGCGGATCGGTGGCAGATGAAATTCGACACGGGGAGATACGAACGGGATTCACTTCGGTGGGAAGACTCGAGAAGCCCAGTAAGACACTGGGTGGCAAGAAACCGAGAGAGGGAGAGAAACAACAGGGAGAAGAACCAGCTTCACGGGCGTTTAAAAGCAGCAGCACAGGGGGAACAAAGTCACGAAGCATGCAAATCGAATGCAAGTAGGCGCAGGTCGCATCGGCTGCACCATCGCCCTCGTGTAGAGTGCGTGGAAGGAGGAAGGTTAAGGGTTTAAGGTGTTCCAACGTCTGACACTCAAGTTTTACGAAGAGAACCCAACGAGAAACGAAGAGGAACGTTCTCGCGCTTTGCCCGGCAGACGTCTCGAATACATCGCGTGTTGACTCAAGGGCTCTGGGACGCTAACCTGTGCGAGGGGCGCTAGGCAAATGTGAGTTGTCGCTGCTGGTGCAAGCTAGACAGCGGGAGGTCCTGCGGAATCTGACTCCGCGTAAGACGGAAATCACTGCTTGAGTGCAGTGGGTTGGGGGGGGGGCGCTCCTTTTGCTGTAATGTGCCTTAGCGGGACAGACCCCGTTATGCTAAGTAAGAGTTGGGCAAGGGAGATGTTTGCGCCTGTCTTGATGCTATCACACCGCAGGATGATAACATCTATTTATCTTACTTAATTTTTCTCGACGCCAGCTGTAAAAATAAAGCCAACAGCAGAACGGAAAACATCAATTACAGTCGGAAATATCTGTTGTGGGGCAAGGGACATTTGCTTTGTACCATTGTCTTTTTTTTCTCTCTCTCTTTCTCTCTCTCTTGAACGACTGCACATGGTTAGAATTACAGTAATATCACAATTGCACTGCCTTCACCTGCTCTTTTCTCTTCAGATGTCAGGAGTGCAATGCCTCGCAGTAAGGAGGGTGTGGGAGGGGGTTGGGGGGAAGAGAAGAACAACAGCTTCTTCAATGACCCCTCCGACAGAATTATTCCATGTAATAGTTTGGTTGTACGTGCCTGCTGAGCGCCTTTCAAGAGGTGATTCCCACCGTTAAAGGGATATGTCCAGCACGCAGTCAGACTTTGCCCAGAAAGATGATTATTTGGGGACGACAAGTTTGCAGGGCTATGGGGAGAGAGCGGGGGAGTGGGATTGATTGGGATAGCTCTTTTCAAAGAGCCAGCACAGATACGATGGGCCGAATGGCCTCCTTCCGTGCTGTCTTAATTCTACGATTCTATGAAAGGTGTCAGGCTCAATCGGTAGGACTCTTGCATCTGGGTTAGAAATTGGTGGGTTGAAGCCCTACGCTGGGACTTTTGAGACTGGCGGACTAGGCAGAGAGCGCCCTGCACTGCACCGATGATTTCCTCTTGTGTTTCCGCATGATTTGTGACATATTAAGCCTTGCATCTGGTCGAGCGCCTTTTGACCTCAGGAGGACATTTCCAGTGAAGGGGTTGAGGTGACAGGCACCTCGTTCCAATTGAAGAGTGTACCTTCAGCATGATGGGAGATCCCGGCTTCTGCTCCAGCATGCCTGTGGCGCTCAGGAGCTCGAACGTGGGGTTGGGGTAGAAGATAAAGTTTGTGTTGTTGTAGACGAGTAATGTCTGCACGTTGTCAAAGACGAAGCCAAACTCTTCCGGCTGCTCCACGCTGTCCAACCCTGGCACGTACTCGCGAGTCAGGGCAGGGGCCCGGCAGCTCATTGTCGTAGAGTTCACCACTTCGCAGACCTGGTGGAGGGGGAGAGAGAGAGAGAGAGCGAGAGAGCGAGAGAGAGAAGCGAGAGGGGAGAGAGAGGGAGCCAGAGAGAAAATAAAACGGTTCAGTTCCCCCTCAGCACTGAAACTCAAGACCCCAAAACTTTTTTTCTGTTCATCTCTAACAAGCAATTTTAAATATGTACAGCGCGACCGACTTCGAGAGGAGGTCTCAAAGCAAAGCGCCTGCTGTGCTCAGAAATTCAACGAAGTAAACGGGAAGATAAATCCTAATTCCGAACCGTGGAGTATTTGAAGCCAAAGGAAGAAAACCTCCTTCATTCGCACGTATTCGACACATATCCTGAGATTGCAACGTGCATTCGCTGAAATCTCGGCACGTTCACTCACACTCATGGCAAAATCCGAGCAAGAATACTTTCACGGCCACAGAGACAGACAAAACGGATGCCCCAAATTCTTTCCCGTGCCCCTGCTATTTCTTTTCCGCACGTATCTTATATATTGGACCTTCAAATCAAATCCTGTCAGAGGGAGTTACGAGACAGGTGTGAAGATTGTATTTCTGGTTCCTGAACTGTGTTCTTTTTTGATGAGGGAGGGCCGGAGCAACAAAACTGTGCAGTGAATTACATGGACACAAAAAACAACGGATACTCACTCTATCAATGCATATTACCCCGGTCTTCAAACACTGCAGTGATATCTTACTCTTTAAAAAAAGGGAGATTCGCGCTGCCTGTAAGCATGTTATGGTACAGTTTGATGTGCAGTAAGCTTTATTTTTCATTTCACTTTTCCTCCAGGGAAGGTTAATTTGAACTGCATTTTCCAGCTTGAATACACTCCGCAAATGAGATTCTTTGAGCTGAAGCTAAACTGAGCGCTCCTCGTATTGGATTGAAATTGCACACGGACATTTCACCCGAGTCCGAGGAAGGGCTCCCACGAGTTTCCTGCAAGTGTGGAAGCAGCTAATTTACTTAATTAAAGAATGACCACAGATAAAATATGAAATTAAATCCATATGGATTTCTTTTCTGTCTCATCCTCCTTGTTTCATTTCTTTTCGTGCTGACAAAGGCTCTTTTGTCTAAAGTTAATCTTCCATTAAATACTATTAAAGAGTTGCAGAAATTCCATTAACCCTCTCTGTGTGACTTTAAGATCTGAAGAGTTTGCATATAATACATTATCTTTTGTGCATTACCAAACTCTTGCCTTGTCATTAACTGGGAAAACAGGGTGGGGTGTGGGGGGGTGGGGGGGGGAGCGGGGAGGGAGGGGGTTGGATGGATTATTGTTTTTTTTACTGGATTTAGAGATTATAATAAAATAGAATATTTAAAATGCTGTTTCTTAATCCTTCCTTTGGTTGTGTATTATTCATGAAGTGAAACAATGAAAGATGATTCTATAAATCCATTACATATTATGCTTGAACCTCCAGGATTAGACAAACTGGTATTGTTAAGATAAAATAAACGACTGCTGGTTTGGAGGGATGGGATGACGTGGTGGTGTATATTTTTTATGGAATGTTGTTTTCCTTTTCAGTTGTGTTTTTTTTATTACAATGCCTCTGACTGTTCCCAATGATTTTTTTTTAGAGCTAAGGGTAAAAGAGTCCGAATCTTGAAATGTGCTCGATACGCAGGAACCCTCTTTGCAAACGACACTTTCACAACGATCGGAATCCCCCATTTATGCACACATTTTGGCGGGACCCAATAGGCAGAAATGATCTGTCTAAAGCAGACAAGACGTTCACTCTTTGGAACCCTATCCCACACCCCCTCCTTTGCTTCCTTCAAAGCCCATTTCAAGACCCTCCATTTGGACCACACCTTCGGTCACCCTCCTACCCCTACCTTCTGCCCAACCCTGATCCCAAACCCCCAGCTCGGGTCCAAACCCCTGACTGCCCAGTGCCTTGGGACGTCCTCCATACGCGAAAGGCGCTGCGTAAACATAATTTGTTGTTCCACATTGTAACCAACATCAGCCCCACCCCATCTATTGAATGAATCCGTAAACACAAGACGGAGCTCGGTCCTCTGAGGGAAGTAGGAACAGGAGCCAATGACACAGGAAGGTGAAATTAAATCGAAACGTTCCAAGACACTCTTAAAATTGGAGGAGGTCAATAAAAGAAGAGTTAGAGGTCTGGATTGACAAGCCACGTCTGGCATTAGCGCAGCTCTGCACTACATTAACATACGAACCAGTGGATCATGAGGCCATTGAAGCTATTCCACCATATTATTAGTTCATTGCAATTCTTTATCTTTCTAATCCCATTCCCCTTCCTTTTGTCAACATCCCTTAATGCGCAGGGTTCCCATGCACCGATCTGCCTCTTAAAACGCCTCAATTGCTTCTACATCTATGGTCCTCTGCAGCAATAAGTTGCACATTCTCACAGACCTTTGTGTCAAATAATGTTTTCTCCAGCACTAAGAACCGGTTTAGCTCTGATGTTAAGATTCAGTCCTCTTATTAAAACTGTACTGCTATGGGATGTTGGATGGTAAAACCAGTGTTAATACTGTATATAAACTGTGAAAGTTATCAACGAGTCTGTATGGGGAATCGCCTGCATCACGATGTTATACACAGTAAAACTCGCACAAGTCTGATCTGTATAACTCATATATCCTTCATCTGCCCAATTCCCGTTGAATTTCCCTAACTCATACTTTGCGTAAGTCATATTGAATGTATGGTCCCAACTGATGCGACTTATGTGAGGTTCACTTATCAATGTTTTCCGTTTTTCCACTTGTGAAATAAACTAAAATAAACCCGGGTCCCACAGAGAGGGTTAAGCCTGGGTTGTTCACTTACATTGAGAGATTCTTGGCTGTTGTGTTTCACGCGGATTCTGGGCTCCTGGATTATGTCGAGGTTCGTCCCAAACACAGTCAGTGGGGTGTTACCACTGAAGGAGGATAAAAAAATGACAATAAATTCAATGGCAATTTATAGCAGTGGAATAAAGAGTCACTTGTTCGTGCCCCTTCTATTCTTCTCCCCGCCCCCTCCTCCTTCCCCCAGCCCATGCTACATGCTTTATTCCCACACGTGTGCGAATACACCTGAAGAAACTCGGGCAGAATATATTTTGAATAGACTCAGGACGTGTAGCACTGCTCCACATTCGTCTCGTTCGGCCACGGTGCTAGGAAGTTCGGAACAGCTCACTGGGCAAATTTGCGTCTTAGCATTCAGATATATGACAAGCATTAAATGCACTCTATATAGAGTTGATGAGATAAGATATTCCAGAGTTAGGTTGAAGGATGGCCAGCCCACAGGTAATATAGCCACGGTCCCTGGAGTGAGGTTTCGGTGTCAGTTTTATGTCGGAATAAAAACGCCAGCAGGATTTCATTTCCCCATTGTGGATTTACTTTGAAACAAACGTAAATGGGTTTACATTAGCATCCCAGTGTTTTAACTATGCATTTGGATGGGGTTATCCAATGAATGATTAAATAGTCTAAAGCACCAAACGATGCAAAAATGGTCCATTTTTTAGGCAGTCAACTGAAATCATTGTCTAAATACTGCTGATTCTAGCAGAATACCTCCTGCCAGCTTTACACGTGTATTAATTGAGACCACCTGTACTGCCAGAATATTAATTCGACGCAAGGCCTCGAACTTCACATTATGGAACAGGAGACATAAACGAGCTTTATGGGCAGGTAACGAACAAACAGCTGCACCAACAGAAAACTGCTTGTGCTTACTTTTCTTCAAAAAAATACATGGATTTGAAATTTCAGCAATCGCTCAAGACCGTAACTTTTTTTTTGCAACTGTGCTCGAGGCACTTGCTCACAATCCTTGCATTTGACACAGCGCCTTTCACGTCAGGACAGCGAAGTCTTACGCTGAAGTGTAGTGACTGTGTATTTTGTCGACAAAATACAACGGGATTTATTTTAAACTTTTAGGGAAGTGTGACTGCAAGTGCTCGAGAGTGTTCGAGAGTCGGGCTTATAATTTGTGTCAGGCCAGCTGTGAAGATAACAGCAATAGGTGCCCGCTATGGGGCATGGATTCAATTGTGTCTGTAAACATCTAAATGGAGATCCAAAAGCACTGCTGAAGTTTTCCAAGAAGGACAATTTCAAACTGTTGTCTTCATAGATGTAGAACTGTATGGCGTAATGCAGAACCCATAACAGTATTTGCAAACCCCACTTTGTCATTCATCTGTGAAGTGCAATTATTCCCAAGTCTATATGGGTTATGGTATTCAGTGGGTGGTCTCAAAGGACTCTACGTGTCAGGGATGTCTGACCCCTAGGAATTTTGCCTGAATGTTTTGGGATTTAGACGCTCCCTTGTTGCTTAATGAACCGGTTGCACGAAATTATTCACAGCGCTGTGTGCTGGAGGGGTGCTGTAAATTGGCAGTGCTGGCAGTATCTCTAACGGAACGGCAGGAGGAGACTCCAGTCATTTGTTTGGCATTACCCAGAGGAACCTACGCAGTGCAAGAGTGAAGCTCTGTTGTTATCAGGTTCTGATGACAGGCAAATTAAGAGGAACCTTAGGGCTTAAGTATGCTTCAGTGGCATTACACGTTTCGCACTGTCATAGAATCGGGGGAATCCCAAAAGAAGGGGGTTTTGACACCAACTTATCATTGCATAAATCTTGCGCCATTAATAGTCAACGCTATCTTAACTGAGAGTACCAAAGGTAAATGGTGTATTTTACTTCTGTCCTTTTAATTGCTTAATTGCTGCGTTTTTGTTCACTGTGCGCGGTGAAGACGTTACTGATCTGAGCGCAAGTGACTGTTGACAAACAATGGAGCGTTGGGTATGTGGGCTGTTACATATGATTCAGAGCATACATAGTGGGATCTTCATAAGCTCACGTTATAATACTTGAAAGCCGACTTTTCTGCGCCCTGGTAAGAGATCTGAAATTCCACCTATTCTTAGCCCTTTGTCTGCGCAGAATTATGGAACATTCTTAAATTCAGTCTGAATTTCGAAGCCGTTCCTGTCGATGAGCTGCAGAAATCTGTCTTCGAAAGAGAGATTGAATTGCGCGTGAACTGAGAATTCCAATTGATCTTGGCAAAGATCTTAGAATATGAAAGCAAAGCCCGACAAGCTGAGAATAGGTGGCATTTCAATAATAATTCATAATAATTAAATAATCAATGACGATGTGATAAGATGCTATATCAAATGCAAGGTTTATTATTATTATTATTATTTCAGACCTCTGATCTGTGCCGTGATCAGCGAACTGGCTTGATTAAGGAAGTTGTAGGTCATAGGGTCTGGTACCTGGCGATACTCCATTCTGGCTCAATCCGTACGACTGTGGGATCTTCGATAAACTCGAACCGAAGGCTGCTCTCCATTTGTGCCCGGTCAACGTTCACAGCGAGACGGACGCTGCCCGGGCCGTGGATTGACGGGGCCGATACGCAAACTATCTCAGTCATGGACCGCCTAAAGAGGAGGACAAGAGAGGTGGTTCGTTTATTGAATGCATCGCGATGTCTAAAAGCTCGTACAGTAGTTCTGTTAAGAAACGCACAGAAAAAACACACACTGCCAAGTGACTGCATACTTATAGGCAATTACGGCAGCCAATTTGCACTTAAGTTCAATGGCCGTGAAGTGAATGAACCAATTTTATTCGGGTTTTTTTTTGGGCCAGGTCATCTCTCTCCGAATTGTACCATGGGATCTTTAGCGTTCACCCGAGCACGCGCAGAAAGGAGCTCGGGTTAACATCTCATCTGAACGCCAGCATCTCCCAACCACACGGCTCATCTCAAGTATTGCGCTGGAGTTCGAAATCCTGAAGTGGGGCTTGAACCTTCTGAGAGTGCTACCGACTGAGCCAGGCTGACGCAGGAATTCCAGAACTAGCCAGGGTTTTACTATGGTGTCTAATTAACAGTGGGGATTGTGAGCATTACAATTAGTGCACTGGAAAGCAAATCCGAACCCTGCAATAAAAACTAGCACCGTGATGATGTGAAAGGTTAATCGTTGCATGGTGACGCTGGAGCTTCTAGTTATTGTCTTAGATATTTGTAAATTCAGAAGCGCATTGGAGGCGGAAGAGCTATAAAATCCCTTAAGCCCTCCACGACTAATACAGCATTGCAGTGGGACGGACGGTAATTTGCTGCCTTTGCCCACCCGCGTGAGCTACTCTGAATTCTGCCGTAATTAGTTATTCAGATTATTATTAGCCTGTCAGGACTATTTTCATGTAATTCTATTCTGTTCGGCTCCGTTCATCAGAGGAGATTGAAAATAGAAAGCTGTAATTAGTGTGGATCTCATTAAACTCTTTCAGCCCTGTGGCGCTCAGCCAAAAAATCAAACTGCATTATTTCTAATGGAATTGAGATCACCCCCGTATTAAAGGCCCATCCACTATATTGACTAGCGGTTCCGTATTAAGGCAATATCGGACCGACTGTGCCCGAACACGGATCGAACACTCGTCTCCATCAATAACTGTGCTCAGAACCCGTTTTTCTTTTCTTTGGGATCAGCGGGGACAGGAATATTCTTTTGCTGCAGATTTCAATGCACTTGGTTTGGTATTCGCCTCTCTCACACGCGCAAGGTCTCTTTTAATCACTTTAATGAACCTGTCAAGTCCTGACTGTTTGTGCGGTCGCTGCCAAAATATGGGTCCTTTTCACCACTTCATACCTGCACTTATTTTTTTTTAAAAATGAGTGAATTTAAGTTATTTTACTCACAGTCAACACAGGGACACAGTGTATAGAACTTCCCTACAGAAGGTTACAGTCCATATGAATGTGCAGTTAACTGTGGAGTCAATTCAGGAGTACATTTGATATCTCATTGTATATGCAACTGTATGTGCCAGAGAGTACAATAAATAAACATGTCTATTAGCTGAAAAATAATGGTTTTGATACTTTTTTTCTACACGCACGCACACACACAAACAAATACGAATAGGATTTTAACACTGAAACATAATCTTTCAGCCAGCAGCTGAAAACACAGCAGGTAATGGCAATACTTATCATATTTACCGAGTGATTTTCTTCATTTGCGACGCAGGAAATGTCAACAAACTGTTCTCAAAAAGGCTGAGTCCGAGGATGTTTCTTCCTCTTTCACACACACACACACACACACATTCCTCCACCCCCCCCAAACCCCACTCCCTCCCCATCCATAATGAACGTTGAAGAGAATGAAATCAGAAATCAGAAGAAGATAACATAGGTCCTTTCAATCATTCCATCGTGTTGTCCAGTGAATTAAACATGAGCCCAAGATTAACTGCGACAGTTTGCTCGCACAGGAGCCCGGGAGGTAGAATGCAAAACATGAGCGCTGTCAAGTCGTGGGTTCACGATGCACTTCCACCCAACGGGCTGTGCAAACAGCTACTTCCGCGTTACATCACCGACCGCCCAAAAGGGGAGATTGCACGAGGGAGGGAGGGAGGGAGGGAGGGAGGGAGAAATGGGGGGAAACATTCAAAAACTCGCTTAATAATAAAAATCCTTGCATTTGATACAGCGCCTTTATCCACGCCGTCGAGACGTCTCACAGCGCTTCACAGGATACACCGTGTGACTGCGTGTATTTTGTAATCGAACGCTGCAGCCAGCTTGCACGCGGTAATGTCCCGCAGAGAGACGCGGAGGGAGTGACCCATTTTATTTGGGTCCCCGCCTTCAAGAAACTGCTGTGGATTTGGTTTGCGGAGGACTGGGCATTAACGGTGGCTTAGCGCACCATCCTTTCAACTACAAAACGCAGTTACTTCACTTTGCAGTAAATCCTGTGAAGCGCTTCGAGACGTGCTCCCCACGTGAAAAGCGCTGGTGTCAAAACACAAGGATTGTTGGCGCGGTATTAAGTGTTATGGTTTCACCTCTGTGCCATTGGATTCAGCCCCTCCTACGCTGACTCTTTTCTGGCTGGAAGGCGAAATAAATCTGTGAGGATAAAATAAATAAAACTCTGGAGCTGGCCTACCCAAGTTATTTAGGCCATAAATCGGCACAAAACCTATTCTAAATGACTAAATCGATCAGGCGATTGCAATTCAATGATCTTTACTATTAGCTGAAAGCACCACAGGTCTGAGCAGCCTCAGTAATGAAATCTCGGCTCCGGGTAATTTCAAAATCTATCATTTTTGGAGTCCGAACTGTCAGCTGTGGATCTAACAACAAAGATAAGTTCTCTGACTTCACGTCTCCATCGTGGATCTCGTCCCACAGCTCGGATGCTGTCAACGAATTCAGATCTACTGCTCCCTAATCAGCGCCAATGAAACAAAAGATAACAATAATAATAATCCTTGCATTTGATACGGTGCCTTATCCCATCTTCGAGACGTCTCAAAGCGCTTCACAGGATATACTTTAAAGCGAATTGACTGCATATTTTGTGGGCGAAACGCAGCAGAATGGACTCATAGTTGGACGATTTAGTTGGCGAAATCAGGACAGGAGTTAGTTTGTAAACCACTTGAGTTTTGCTTCCACATTTTTTCTATAGACGCCCCCACTCCGAAGAGAATATAACCTGGGAATCATTACCAGCGATCCAGTAGAGGTCTCTAAAGATCTATAACTTTTGGACGGGATAGTTGCAGTACGTGGCTTCCGTTGATGTAAAATGTATCGCTGTAAACCTCGGGCTATGGATTTCATAATAAAGAACAGTCTTAGCTTCAACCAGGCAAGATGGCTGAATGGTTTGAGGGGTTGGGGGCTTCATTGAACCAAAGGTTACTGCTGCGAGTTCTCTTTCCTCACCTGTAAAACTCACACGTCTGGTTCCCGAACATCACGTTGACATTACTGCCAGCCCCGAGGTTCTTGCCCGAGATAGTCACCATTGTTCCTCCAGACTCTGGACCTCGTCTTGGGATCAGGTCTCCTAGAGAGGGCCTCTGTCAAAGGGAGGAGCGAGAGAGAAAGAGAGGGACAGAGAGAGAGAGAGAGAGAGAGAGAGACAGAGAGGGAGAGAAGAGAAAGAGAGAGAGGGAGGGAGAGAAGAGAAAGAGAGAGAGAGAGAGTGAGAGAGAAAACACGAGTACAAATTAATAAAGGGAACCAGAGAAAGAGCCACCCAAAAAAAAACAGACGGCAATTACCGATCACACGGCTACTTGATACTGAGGCACTTGGTTTTAAGATTCGTGTAATTAAATAACGACACAGAGTTCCTTGGGTTACATTTATTAACTTTGCTTTCTCTGCTTCCCCAAGGGCCCTGGTTGGTTGGGAATCTACATCTCTCTGAAGGCTGTCACCTTTGAAGGTTTAAACAGAATATCTTCAATGCTGTTGGCCTCTCTTTCATTCGTAACTTCAGGCTGCATTAACTAACTAGATTTGATTCCGCATTATGCAGTGGGTTTTTCTCGTTGCCTGTATTTCAGAGACCACCTGGGAAGCCCGTGGGCCTGTGTTATCTCTCTCTGGAAAATAACAAAAAGCAATAAGCAAACAAATAGATCCTGGCATCTTCTCTGCCCTGGGCAATGGACCACATCAGTATGTGTTTAAGGTCTCCAATCTTTTCCCTTGAAATTTGACTGACAGGCTGGGTTAAAAAAAAGGAACAATAATAATAATAATAATAATGTGTATCCTAAAAAAAAATCAACAGCAAAAGAATAAATAAAGAGGCCAGCTGATAGCGCAAGCAGTGGGGAAAACGGGATGAAAACAAAAAAGGATTTTCAAAGATTCAGGACGTCTTTTCATTCCACTCCGTCTCGATGTGGTGCCAGAAGCCGAGCCCTTGAACCACACCAGTCGGAATTCGAGCTGTTTATTTCCTGTGGGTTCCCTTCCAAGCTCTGAACCTCGAATTGATTCGCCAAATACTTCTTAAATGAGTCAAAAATGCTTTCCGACTTGTGAGAAAACCGCATTCAATACGGAGGGGAGGGAGGAGACATTACCTGAAGATATGTGGCATGATGTGTGGGGTGGGGGGGAAGGGAGTTGGGGAGCTCCCGTCGTGAACAACCCAACCTCGGGACTTTCATAATTCTGACGATAATTATCCTTGCACTTGATGTAGGGTTGTTCACGACAGGAGCATGTCTCAAAACCCTTCGCAGGAGGGAATGTAAAGGGGAGTGACTGCGTATTTTTTTGGGCGAGCGTAGCAGCCAATTTGCGCACAGCAACGTCCCGCAAACAGTGACATACGAGCGACCGCACTTTATTTGGAGTGAAACGGCCGGTCCTCGTGAGGGGAAAATGTCTCTGACGCAATACACGTGTCGTTAAATGCAGCAAATTGCGTTGGAAAAATGAAGGCTCGTTGCTTCCGACAGTCGGGCGGACGGCTTCCGAAAGGGAAAAGCGTTGGCAACTGGTCATTGAGTGAGCTGCTTTCTCAAGGCTGACTTACCACAAAGGTGTACAGCTGAGTTGACTTGGTCATGAACTCTGGCTTGCACTCGCCGACGCAGAGCTGTATGGAGCCGGATTCTTTGTCTGGTCTCGCCTCGCCCATCTCACACACGATCCTAGCCAGAGAAAAGGGTGGAAATGAGAGCGCAGCATTGGAACATATGTCAGCTTTGAGCACTTACTCGTGCATCTGCTGTGGAGCGTCTGCTTTTCTAACGTTGCCCTGACATCTTCGACTGAAATAAATGAACGTTTTCCTGGCAGTTACCGGGACAGATTAAGCTGCTGTCAGCACTCCTGCGCGATTAATACATTGTCCCCTAAAGCAAATGGCACACAACAAATTTCAATTACACCCCCACCACCCCCCCCCACCCCGCCCCCCCACACACAAGCCCAACCATAAAAGAGCTGAGATTCGACTCACTGAGGAAAAGGGGGAATGTGGACCGTTTTTATCGTGCGGTCATTTCGTGCAATGAAAGAACAGCAAACTGAAGGAGTCATCCGAGTTGCAATGAAACAACATCCCTGTCCCCTCATCGCACAAGCCAAAATCACTTTGAAAATCACCTGATACAGTTGAAATCACTTTGAAATCACGGGATTCCCGTGTCAAAGATCACTCATTTGATCACAAGTCGAAATCACGTTGAAAACACATGATCCGCCCAATAGAAATAATAATAATAATAATGCTTGGCATTTGATATAGCGCCTTCGAGACGTCTCAAAGCGCTTCACAGAATATACTGCAAAGAGAACTGACTGTATACTTTCTTGGGCGAAATCACCTGATCATGTTAAAATCACGTGTGCCCTCAAATTAAAATCCCTCTGAAATGCACGTGATGGGAAGCAAACCAAGAGCTATCCAAACGGCCAAGGAAAATGTACAGTCTGTTTCTTCACTTTTCAGTATATTCGCTGACTTTGATGATTTGGGAATTTCTCCCGGGATCGGAGGTGGCCCCATGACCGGAGAATCATCCCTTTTCCTTCTTCAGAATCCTTAAAAGGAACATTCTATGTTTACAAAAAGTTTTACCTTCATTGTTTTGCATTCGACACGGCACCTATAATTCTCAGGTTGCCCCAAAGAGCTTCATGGGATTTTTACTGAGAAGTAAAGCGCAGTGGCTGGATTTATAGGCCAATGCGGCAGCCCATTTTCACACAGCAACGTCTTACAAACAGCCGTGAAATAAATGGCCAGTTTTATCGGTATCCTTTCAAGAACAGAACAAATACGATTTGGCAAAAATCCAATGAAGTTTTTAAGTTAATGAAATGGGATTAACGGACAGGCAGATAAATTGAAGCCGAATACTTTTGAAAACAGCTCAGTTCTGACGAGATGATGATGTAACCTGCGAACGAGGCTGGGTGGCCAATATTGCCTCCGATGCTACATCCCCCCCCACACCCCCCCCCCCCCAGTACAAACCCAAACCACACCAAGCCACTGCCTTCAGGGGATAATAATGCATGGATTTGGAAGCTGCCGTGTCCAATATCATTAACAAACACTGAAACAATGCAGCAATGAAATGCCAATGAGCTGGTTTTGTCATTGCCCAAGGCCACTGAGCAAACAAATTGAAACGTTCCCTCACCTATAGCCTGGCCTTGCCCTTTCAACTGCTACGCATCATGTAACAATGTCCCATGGAGAATGGGTATTGAGCTTGCACTAGACCAACCCTAGCTTTCTTCTGACGTCTGCAAATCCCATTTAGTCTTAAGTCTTTAAAGCCATTCAGTCTTAAGCTTTAAGAGTCCTGTAGCTCAGTGGTTAGAGCACTCGCTTTGAAGCGAGAGACCTGAGTTCAATTCCAGGCAGAGGGCGAAACCTTGGGCAAGTTTCCTTACTCCACACAGAGACTAATAATAATCCCTCCAAAACAAAAACAATAATAAATTGGTCATTTTCAATCCACGACTGTTTGTGGGACATTGCTGTGCGCAATTGGCTGCCGCGTTCGCCCACAAATATACAGTCAATTCACTTTACAGTGTGTTCTGTGAAGCGCTTTGGGACGTCCTCCCACACCTGAAAAGCGCAATATCAAATGTAAGGATTATTATTAGCATTATTATTAAGATTGCGCAGAGTATTGGAACATTTTTTCCACCGTTTTTCTGCAACTCGTATATAACTATAATAAAAAAAAATCAAATTGAGATTGAATTTAAAAAAGTTGCACAGTCCTGCGCACTTTCTGCTGCTGTGCACCACAGAGTTTTCTCTTCTGCAAGTGGTCAAAGTGTACCTGGAGAAATACGTCTCCTGAGTTAATTCTGGAATAGCTGCCTGGACTCCAGCTTTCTTGCCTTCTGGATAATAACTAATGCGCTGCCTAACTATGCTGGACAATAACGGTGAGCCATGCATTATTGTCAGGCAATCTCAAAGTTAGCGTAGGGTCCAGCAGAGATTACTGTGGTTGATGGCACCAAATGATGCCAATCTGATAGGTTCATCTCGTTCATTAAACAGCTTGAACACTTTAGATAGCAGTCTGGCACGGGACCAACGCTTTTCCAAAGGTCATTGTGTAAAAGTATCAATTGGATGTTCAGTCTGGCAGTTTGCTGACAGCTTTAATTTTACACAAAGGTTATAAATCTTTTGAGACAATAATGCACTTCAGAATATCAAACAATAACAACAATAATAATCCCTGCATTTGATACGGTGTCTTATCCCATCATTGAGACGTCTCAAAGCCTCTTCGCGGAACATACTGTAAAGCGAATTGACTGTATATTTTGTGGGTGAAACGCGGCAGCCGATTGCCCACAGCAGCGTCCCCACGAACAGTCACCGATTGAGTGATAGCATTCGTTTATTTTTATTTTTTGGGAGGGATTATTACCCCCGGAAATGCGATCTGCCAATTGCCTAACCATCGGGTTCCTGCGTACTGCTGGGCAAACAGAGGCGCGCGGAGTAAGGACACCCGCCTTAGGATTTGCCCTGTGAATACCATGAAAAAGGGAAGGAATTCTTAACAATAGTCCACTTGTTTGGGCTGATGCTTTCACTCGCAGGGCTCCGCAACTCAACTGCCATTGATTTGGTGCGGGCGGGTTTCAGTCTCATTCCCAGGAAAAAGGCTCGGGGGCTCCCCTTTTTGCAAAAAGAAATGCAAATGTGCTGCTTGAATCACGTTGCACAAATCCTCAGCGACAGTCTCCCCGGGGCTGACGGCTAACAATCAATAGCGTGCACCCAATTTCAATTCAGCTAATCGTGCGGAGCAATCGGGGGCTTCTGAATGGCCTCTGATAAGCTCGGAATCCAGCCTTGCAGCCCAGAACACAGGATATTCGCCAGCTTCCAAACCCTGACGCTATCTCCAATTCCTTTTTAGCAATTAGCTTTTTTTTTTCTGTAGCGGCAAAAGCAAAATGATCATACTATTAGGACGTCTTTTCTCTCTCCCCCTCTCTCCGATTTAGCGTTTCTCTCTCTCTCTCTCGCTCTCTCGCTCTCGACACAAGCACAATTTCTCGGCTCAAAGGGCAAGTGTATGATCTGCCCCCCAGCTCTCTCTTGTCATACGATGCCATCGCTGGCCTTGGAGATGAGACTTTGGTCCAGTTTTTGTCCAGAGTCTGGAAGGGACTTACTGTTCGGCAATGATGTACCCGTCTAACAAGGGGATGCACTGCACGCCAGCCACACGCACGTTGTTTGCGATGTCCAGGAAATCCAGGCCCAGATTCTCGCCACGGATGGTCACCTGTGTCCCCCCTTCCTGCGGACCCGATGTGGGAATCACCTGGGGGGGGGGGCGGGGAGGTGGAGGGGAGAGCAAAGTGCAGCCGATAATTAAAACCAATCACATCGAGCGGGAGAACAAATTCATTCACTGGAGATTTTCGGTCGTTGCTAATATTAATAATAATCCTTGCGTTTGATACAGCGCCTCGTCACATCTTTCCAGACGTCTCAAAGCGCTTCACAGAATATAACGTAAAGTGAATTGACTGTATATTTTGTGGGCGAAACGCGGCAGCCAATTGCGCACAGCAGCGTCCCCACAAACAGTCGTGGACTGAGTGACCAAATTATTTTGGTTTTTTAAACTATTCAGTGAAAACAATGCTACTTCCTCATGCACTTTTGTTTACAAAAAAGGCACTTAGATTAAAAGAGAGAGCAAAAGACGGAATGTGAGAGAGAGAGAGAGAGAGAGAGAGAGTGAGAGAGAGAGAGTGAAAGAGAGAGACGGCAGCAAAGATGGTGAAAGGGGTGAAAAAATTCCAGGTATTTTTCTAGCGACGCATTCACAGATCAGTTCCTTCAGGAGAGCTTAGCGTAAGACTTGTGATGCTGGTGGCTTTGCTCTGATAAATAACGCAGAGATAACCTATTGTGCTTTAATTTGCTGCAATGCTAGCGTTCTGCTTATCCACACTGTCGAACCGACCGTTGCCAAGCAACAGGAATGCACACGCAAAAAAATTACAACCGAGATACCAGCGATCGCTGAACTAAAAATAAGAGTCAGCAGTTAGCCTTCGGGAACTCTCCCAAGTGCTTCATTAATTGCATTGTAAAGAAAGAGAATCTTTGTGGGTGTGGGGGGGGGGGGGGGGGGGGGGGCGGTTAAAGACCCCCTCTTCCGACATTAAAACACTTTAACAACGGGAACTTTCTTTAACGTTGCAATTAAGGCTTTAGGAAATAAAGAGCAAAGCCTCCGGAGAGGAATTCGATTTGTTTATTTCGGGAGGATGCTGAGAGTGCTCAACGATCCTTGCGTTTGATGTCGTGCATTTCGCTCCGGGGGGAGAGGGGGTGGTGGAAGACGTCTCAAACGTGCTTCGCGGGATTTACTGAAAAGTGCGGTGACTTGTCTCTTTTTGTGCAGGCGAACACAGTCACTACACTTTACAGAATGACTCTGAAGCGCTTTGAGAATTTTGACGTGCTAAGGCTCTACATCAAATGCAAGGATAGTTATTACTATTATTATTATTATTTTTGGTGCATTTTCCAATCTGCATAGTTTATTATTATTTATTATAGTTTATTATTGCCAGGAGTAGCAATAAGTTAAAGTGCAACAAGGTGATGTCACGGAAAATGTAGTTTTACTCGACAAGAACGGCGAAAAGAAACAAAAACGTCTCAGAGAAACATTTTGTCAAAGTGACACGGGATTTTAACGTATTAAACTGAGATTTCCCTTGAAAGAAATCTCTCGCTCCCTTTTGGGTGGTCTAATGATACTTTGTCCTCCTTCTCTTCACCGAATTTCAAGTGTTTTAGCATTGACGCCTTACTTCACTCTTCTGAATTACTTACTCTTCGCTCAACTGACTAATTAAGTGCACTGAGGAAGTTCTGTAACCGGTGGGAGATTTTCGGCCCAATTACGTGGCTAGCTGTTAAAGAATCTCTGACTAATCTGATAAAAAAGGCCATTAATTTGACTCCTCTGCTCTGTGGCCAATACTTTGAATGTTCATCGGATCCTTTGATGCCACACAAGCCAAAGGAAAGCTTTTCACCTGTAAAACAGCAGCCTGGGAAAAGAGAAGCAAATTGGAGAGTGGAAAGAGCCACTTGTCAAAGTACCTGGAAATAAAGGAAATGAAGAGATGAAAGGGAGAGCGAGAGCTCTGGGAAGCAGAACGCGTGGGGCTTCTGAGTGGAGTATTCTGTGGTGGATTTCTCTGCGGCTCACCTCCTCATTGTTCAGATGACGGCATTTGCAGATATGTTTTTCGGGGTCACAATTGCAGGATGTGCTATTATTCCACGTAAGAACCTCAAACAGTGGAGAGGATTCTTACAGTCAGTCGGCTTTCCCTGGCTTGAATTGCCCCAGAACAATCCAGATCTCAATTATTACCCGGACTCCTAACCAGAAGTCCAATCTTCTAGTGCTCAAACCCTTCCATTATCTTGGACCTTAAAAGCCCTTGTTAGCTGCCAAAATCCATCAACGTTTCATTCCACAGAAATATTCTGATAGTGTTTATACCGTTCAATACTGCGGAGACAGAGATACCGACTGCGAGGAATTGAGTGGTGAGCCCTGAATGAGATCACACAGTCTCAAATTTCCACTGGTACAATAATGCGATCGCACTGTAAACAAACATCTGTTCGAAACATGCACAGTGTTCATGGCCACTCGGAAACAACAATAAATAATAATCCTTGTCACGAACAGGGTCTAACATTGCAAAAATCGATGTTGAAAACTGGAGATCTGTTACAAACTCCAAAGCGTTGGTATTAGCTTGCGACTGAGATGAAATATCAGATTGGTGAATAAAATAGTTGGGACTTTTGCTCTATTGACCTAGCTGTTTCGAGGAAATATTTGCTTTCAGCACAGTAGAAGGAAATGTGGCCCATTGTGTCATTGAAGTGGAATCATTAATTCAGCCAATGAATTGGATATTTATTTTTAGGCATCTTGTCCAAGATACTGTCCCTCAGCCCAGGTCATTGTGCTGCATAAGTTGGTGCTTTCCCCCTTCCAGTTGAATCTCAATTATCTGCCAATTTTAATTGTCCACCAGAGCATTCCCCTCCGTCATAGTGGATAATCAAGGTTCAACCGTACAATTGGAATTGGCCAAGGGAAGGTAAATGATAGTCAGTTATTATTATTAATAATAACAATGCTTGCATTTGATATAGCACCTTTCCACACCTTCGAGACGTCTCAAAGCGCTTCACAGGATATACAGTGAAGTCAATTGACTGTATATTTTGTCGGCGAAACACGGCGTGGGTCGTGGGTTGAGTGACCAAATTGTTGTCATTATTATTGCTATTATTTTTATTTATTTATTTTGAAGGGATTGTTACCCCCGGAAAATATCAGTGCACTGAACTTGAGGAACTCGTGGCTCAAAACCTCAATCTACAATCACAACAGAACCATCTGCAACTTCATATTTTAATACCTTTTGTTTTTGTTCTGAGGGAGAACACAAATGGCAAAGCATACACATTTGTTTTTAAACAAGGAACATTTTTCTTCAGACTCGAATTAAATGCTGCAATAATGTCACGCACAAATCCTCCTATATCGTGCACAAATTTTCCTATAGAGGCCAAACCAATTATTCTTCGCTCAATCTGATAATTAAGCCNTTTTTTTTGTCAAGCGAGTCCCGGTTTCAGGAGGAAGGAGGATAAAATAGACTTCCAGTCGGGGTTGACATGCACCTGCTGTTAAGTAACTCGGAGCAGTACATCACCCTGACAGATTACTTTAACGAGCTACAGCATTCAGTCAAATATGCCCCCCCCCCCTATCCTTTCCACCCCCCTGCAAAAAAAAAACCTCCACAGGTTCATTATGCTTTTTAAATGTACCCTTTGGATGACATGGCTAATAGTTTGACAATACCACTGCTCAATTTATGCAGCGGGTTCTCTGAGCTATGAGTAAATTGTTGCTGAAGTCAGCAGGAATGCCAAGACATCCATCCAACCACACAGCGCCTCTCTGAGCTGCCAACACATTCCCGGTCTATTCACTGCCGCTGAAGCAACCAGACCCTCCCTCATTGCAGTCATTTCCACTGGTGGTTACTTGCATGAATGTTAACAACCCCTTATAAACTCCTAGTTTGGCTACAGAATACATCATCACTACAGATTACAATATATGCTGTGAAGGGCTCTGAGATGTCCTCCTGACATGAAAGGCACTGTATCAAAACGCACTAATTAATGCCTCTTTTCTTGGCAGACATACAGGATGTGATAGGATATGTAGTTAATGGGGGAGGGGAACAATTAGTTTATTGTTTCCTGAGAGCAAACTTCAGCCTGTGCTGTGCAAACAAATCTTCAATCGGAGTAAACTTAAAAAAGAGTTTTCTAAAAACGTTTTTCTGACAAATAACTTCTGACGGGCTCTTGTGAGTTATTAAGTACAGCATTTCTTGTTGGCAAAGTAGGTTCTGCATCCTGGATCCTCAACAAACATCCTCAACGCCCAATAACATCAGCACACTCACAGCTCGTCTGATCTACAATACGTTATTCATTGAGAAGCGTTGCCTCTAATAATAATAATCATTGCATTTGATACAGCGCCTTACCACGTCCTCGAGACGTCTAAAAGCGCTTCACAGAATATACGTTAAAGTGAGTTGACTGTATATTTTGTGGGCAAAACGCGGCAGTCAATTTTTCACAGCAGCGTCCCACAAACAGTCGTGGATTGAGTGACCACATTTATTTATTATTTTTTTGAAGGAATTATTAGCCCCAGAAAAGCAATCCGTCAATCGACTAACAACCAGGTTCCTACTTACTGCTCGGTAAACAGAGGCGTGTGGAGTAAGGAAACCTGCCCAAGGTTTCGCCCTGCCCGGGAATCAAACCCAGGTCTCTCGCTTGCGAGGCGAGTGCTCTAACCACTGAGCTACAGGATTCCACTGCAGCGACTGGCATAAAAGCGGCAAAGCGAGAGATGTAAAAAGTTCACAAATTTGTTTTGCCTGTCATCGCAATAGATAAGGGAGCTTGTTCTGTGAGCAGCTGCGGGAGAAGTTCATTGGTGATGTGTATTGTTATTAGAAAGGTGTTCATAATCATTTGAGGGATGAGGGCTGTTCCTCACTGACAAGTATATCTGCATGGCAATCAAATGCCGCAGCCTTTCTGTTTTAGTTCCTTTATTCTCCGGCCCGGATCGTTTTATTAGAAAAACACATTCTTGCAGATGTTGGACGATGGGGGGGAAAAAAATAAAACAGCTTCTTGCTTTGCAAAGTGCAGGCAAAAAGCCGGATGTAA